GCACTGTACTTTTTAAAAATAAATTTAATTTTTAAGTTTAAATCTTTTGAACTGACATGCCTTTTGTGAAAACCAACCCAAACCAATAAAACTCATGAACAGGTCAATTTGGTTGGCCAAATAGCCTACGGCCGGACTGAACCAACTCATGAATACTCTTAATTTTAGCTAAATTAATAGTCTTATCTCCGATAAATAACAATAGTTTAATCTTCAATAATTATTGAAAATTTATAGCAAAAATACATAACTATTGAAAATAGGTTGATAATAAAAAATACAATAATTACAATAGTTACAAAAATACGATAAGTACTAAAAATATATTAACTTAGTCAATAAATAGTATAATCTCAAATAATAGCTTAACATATAATAAATATTAAGAAATCAATAAGTTAGGACAAAAATGCAATAAATAAAATAACTAAAATAAATTATATTTAAAAAATTCAATAATAGTAGTTTAATCTCCAATAATTATTGAAAGTTTTCTGTTAAATAACAAAACAAAATAAATTTATGCACAATCATTGAAAATACATATATCAAAAAAACAATAACTAATTACTGAAATACAATAAATATTAATTGTAGTATATATAATTATATAATAAATACAAATAAAGAATTTAAAATTATTATCAATAAATATTAATTTTTTTGAAAGTTATTTTCTCAAATTATTACTTGATATAAGTGAAATTAGTTATTTACAATATTATGTAAAAATATTAAATTATTATTAATTTCAATATTATGTTATAATTATTTTCTACTTTTCAGAATTTTTTTAATTTATTACATAATTTCTTTATTTTAACTATTTAAAATCTAGTTATGTTAAAAATTTTGTTATTTAAATACTTAAGTAGTATGTAATATATTTAAATTTTAAAATATTAATTAATTATTTAATTTAATTATCCATAAAATCATAATTTATTCTATTATTACATAATTTCATTATTAATTTTGTAATATATTAAATTATTATTATTTTCAATATTATGTTAAAATTATTTTTCTACTTTAAAGATTTTTTTAATCTATTACATAATTCCGTTATTATAACTATTGAAAATCTAGTTATGATCATAAATATTTAAATAATCTATAAAATATTTAAATTTTTTTGTTATTTGAATGTTATTTATTTAAAGCTATTACATATTATTAAATATTTGAAAAACATTTAAATTGATTGTTTGGAAAAACATAATTTAAATTATTAGTACATAATTTTGTGATATATTTTGTAAAAATATAAAATTATTTTTTGTGTTTTTAATAAATATTTTAAAGTTATTGTATAATTTTGTTAGAATATTTAAATAATTCTTAAATTTTTAATCCAAAATTTCTTTAGATAGATATAGATAAATAGTAGGGGAGAGGATAAATAGGAATTAAAAATAATTTAGGAGAGAAACTCTCTACTAAATTAGAGATAATTTTAGAGATAAATAGGAATTAGAGATAATTTAGAAGAGAAATAGGAATTAGAGATCATTTTGGAGAAAGTGGGGGAGGTAGTTTAGGAGAAATTTTAGGAGAAGTGATTATTTAGGTTATGGGAAAGTGTATCTCATTGGCATGGAATAAAAAAAACAAAAAAGAGAAAAAAAGAGAAAATTTCTTGGCCGTGCATCTCATTGACATGGAATAAAAAAAATAAAAAATTCAAAAAAAGGAGAAAATTTCTTGGCCGTGCATCTCATTGACATGGAATAAAAAATAAATAAATAATTCAAAAAAAGGAGAAAATTTCTTGGCCGCTTTGTTTTAATATATATATATATATAACACTCTTATGTGTTTTATTGTTTAGGTTTTCTTAACAAAGCGGTCAAGAAATTTTCTTTTTTTATTGAATTTTTTGTTTTTTTTTGTTCCATGTCATTTTTGAAACAACTAATAAGATGCACTTTTCCAATAACCTAAATAATTTCTTCTCTTAAAATGTATCCTAAACTACCTCCCTCACTTTCTCTAGAATTATCTATAATTCCTATTTATCTTCTAAATTATCTCTAATTCCTATTTATCTCCACAATTATCTCTAATTTAGTATAGAGTTTCTCTCATGAATTATCTCTAATTCCTATTTTTCCTCTCCCATACTTTTTATCTATATCTATTTAAAGAAAGTTTGGATTAAAAAAATTAAGAATTATTTAAATACTCTAACAAAATTATATAATAACTTTAAAGTATTTATTAAAAATACAAAAAATAATTTTATATTTTTATAAAATATATCATGAAATTATGTACTAACAATTTAAATTATATTTTTCCGGATTATCAATTTAAATGTCTTTCAAATATTTAATAATATGTAATAGCATTAAATAAATAAAATTCAAATAACAACAAAAATTAAATATTTGATGGATTATTTAAATATTTAAATAACTAAATATTTGGCTAATTCACCATAAAAAATGGTGTCTTCCACAATGGAATMTGATAAGTGAGATTTCGAGTAAGTGTTTACATAATCTTCTTCTGTCCRAAKAAATGATTCATCGAAATAATGAGTCACCCGTTCCATTGATATGGACACATATGAGATCACCAAATGCTCGAGAGTTCCTCTATTCAATCATTTTCCTTCTTCTTGTTGCTGGATATCTCRTTCGTACACATCTTCTCTTTGTTTCCCGAGCCTCTAGTGAGTTACATACAAAGTTTGAAAAGATCAAATCTTCGATGATTCCATCATACATGATGGAGTTACGAAAACTTCTGGATAGGTATCCTACATCTGAACTGAATTCTTTCTGGTTAAAGAATCTCTTTCTAGTTGCTCTGGAACAATTAGGAGATTCTCTAGAAGAAATACGGGGTTCTGCTTCTGGCAGTAACATGTTATTGGGTGGTGGTCCCGCTTATGGGGTCAAATCAATACRTTCTAAGAAGAAATATTTGTGTTCAGGCCTGGCCCAGGCCCGGGCCCACATTAGGCTCGCAATTTTTAGTGCTGGGCTTCGGCTTAATACTTTAAGCCCGGCCCGACCCGCATATATTTAAACTTACACATTTTGTGTATAATGTATACATATGTATATATGCTATTTTACATTATATTAAATATTATAACATGACATGTATAATTTGTATTATATGTAATATTTTATATTATATAATGTATAAAATAAGTTTATATGCATGTTATGTCATTTAATGTATAGATGTGTAAGGCTTTATATATGATTGACATTGGCCCGGAATTAGGCCCGGCCCGGCCCAGGCCCATATAGACCTGGGTTAGGGCTTATGTTTCAAGCCTGGCACCCCGGGCCTGGACCTAAGCTATTGCCCTTATCACAAGTGCAAAGCCTAGCTCGGCCCGACCCATGATCACCCCTAGTTGTAGATGGGTGCAGGAGATCTTGATTCCTGACTCAAGTTTACATCGACGCCCTACAACACATCTCAACCGCGTATTGGGAACGAGAGATGCTCCAAATGCATGCTGGGATGTAAATGTGGGGCACTAATGTGATCTCCCTAGGGGTGAGCAAAAAAACCAAAAAAACTAACCAAAACTGATTCAAAAAATTGGTTAATCAAACTGGTCGGTTTAGTTTTTTTAAAAAACGGAAGGTACTGGTTTGGTTTCAGTTAACCAATATAGAATTCCGACGGTTAATCGAACCAACCGTTATACATATATTTCTATATATTTATGTACATTATATATTATATATATTTTATATATTATAAATTAATAAATATGCATTATATTATAAAAATATATATATATATTTATAATATTTGATATATTATTTATTATTTAAAATATAAAATTATATATATATATATATTTATATAACATATATTGTAAAAATTAAAAAACCAAAAAACCGATGAACCAAACCAGTCAACTAGTTAACTGACGGGCTTCGGTTCCATGCTTCAAAGTATCGATACACCCTTGTGTATCGGCAAGGTTGTATCAATACTTAAAAATACACTCTCAATGTTTTTTTTAGTTTTTTTTTCAAAATTTGATTTTTAAAGATGTTTTTAATGGTTTTTTTACTGAAATAAACCAGGGTCCCGAAACACTTGTAAATAGGTGTATCGAGACCAAAAGATACGATACAATACACCCGATACGGGGCATATCGTATCGATACTTTGAACCTTGTTCGGTTATATTCCAATTACTGGTTTTCCAAAAACTGGCAGTACCAGTTCGGTTAAAAAAACCCCATGGTTTATCCAATCGTGGGCACCCCTAGATTTTTCCGACTCGTCAACGGTAGGGGTGGATTCAAGCCGAACCGAGCTGAATAGTACCAGGCTCGAGCTCAACTCGGCTCAACTTGTTTTACATTTTATAAAAATATTTATTATAAATTTTATAAAAATAAAAATTATATATAAAAAATTATTTTATATTTAAAGATTAAGAATTATAATAATTAATAATTATAATATTTTTATTATATATATTATTTTCTATAATTTTATTATATGTATTATATGTTCAAGCCGATTCGCAACTTTCACGAACCGACCTCTAATAAATTCGAACTCGACTCGTTTATTATTCAAGCCATTAAATGACTAAAACCGAGCAGAACCGAACTCGATCATCTCTTATAAAAAGCTCGACTCGTTGTCACCCCTAATCAATAGTCAGCTCTATCCGTGTTTCATTATGAATCGGAAGGTTGTGTTGTTAGTTGCAACCAGCCAACTTAGTTCTGAAACCGGACATTTCACGAGAAGACGCCACAGCCGCACATCTCAAATTTGGTTTGATCCTATATCCGAATATTCCATATCTAATTGAAGTAGTCCGTACCCCATACGACAAAAAGATTCAAATGCAACGGTGATATTCGTGGTTGTATTTGATCATTTATAATGTGATGACACGTCACCTATTAGTGGAAAAAGGCCGCAGCCCAGAGTTTTTATTTTTTTAAACAACATACATATTAATTAACGGAGGTAAAGAAGACCCACATACATACGCTCCTGCTCGTAGAAATCTACTTTGTTCTATGATATTATTTAACTGAGGGGCGAGAGGGCAATACTGCTCAGTGATACGGCAATCGTCGAACTCGTTTTCATTCTCTTCCTAGTTTTCTTCTTCGTTCTCTGATCCTTTGGTCAATCTGATACGATCGAATCTTTCGATCCCTCGATTTCGACTGTTCTTTGTTTTATATTATTTCTATTTGCTTTTAGGTTTCGATTTTCAGAGGCATGGAGAATTCTAGGGAAGGTTGCGATGGAGCAAAGAAGAATGAAGAAAGCCCTAATTCTGTAACAGAAGCTGAGCCCGAATCAAATTTGGCTGCATCTCGGCAGACTTCAAGGACGCCGTTCACGAGCCTCAGCCAGGTCGATGCAGACCTCGCACTCGCTAGGACCCTACAAGAACAGGTATGGTCGACTCTTTTATTTATTTATTTTATCTAAATCAGAATCCGAATTTTTTTTTTTTTGTGGGGGGGGGGAGGTTTTTTGTATTCATCGCCTCTCTTCATTCTTTTAGTGGTTTGATTGCAAGTTATCTTTTAATTAATAGTTATTTGTTTTGGTTTGTTGTCGATTGTCTCTGATACTCATTCTATTTACGGTGGATTGACTTGCGTTTTCAATTGACTGGTGGTGGTTGGATATGATATAGGAACGGGCATATATGATGCTAAGAATGAATAGTGGTGAAGGGAGTGATTATGGAAGTTCGGAGAATGGAAGTTATGTCTATGAAGATGATGTTGATGATCAAAACGAGGAAGAGAATGCTGAGACTGATGCTGATGAAGATGCATTCGATGTCCATGCACGGGTTGATGCTGGGGATAACAATCAGGCTACTGAACTTGATCCATCGGCCTTTGACAGCGATGAGGCTTATGCTAGGGCTCTCCAAGAAGCTGAAATGGCCGTGCACTTGATGGCTCTTGCCGGAATTAATGACTGTGAGCGATTCTATTTTATCGCGTTACTCTTTGTGTCTTGCAATTGCAAGGTTCGTTAATTTTCACATAATTGTTGAAGCTTATATCAACGTTTATATGATCGTAGGGGAAGCAGAGGATAGTGAAGACCATGGCAGTAACTCTCAGGTGTATATTTATCTTCACGATTTAGCTTTTATCTTTTGTATCTTGAATGCCATTGTTAGAATGTTTGAGAGGTGAATAATCTTGATACTAGAAAACAGTTCATAGTTGAAACACCATTACTTCTAAATTGACTATTGTAATTATGACTCTCTTTTCATACCTTGAATCCATAATATCAGTCTTTAAAATTGCTGGTACATTTTATTCTGGTGTGTTTCCGTTGGCCATCTTCAGCACCTATTTCCCTTTACTTTTCATTCAACGAAAGTATGCTTTACCTTATTTGAAAAAAAGGGAAAATGTATTCCAGTTGCTTCTTACTTGTTTATAACTGTTTCTTGAGTTATAAGGAACTGAGTTTTGAGTATAGAAGCTCTTATGTGGAAGAAGCTATATTTAGTTCCCACAAATATATGTTTGTACAAAATTTGATGGTTTATGCTGAAAGCATTGGCCAATTAATATTGTTAAACGTGAATTACATTGTACACATTGCAAAGTGGATCCAACATATCAACCTAAAAAGGAAAAAGGTAAAAGAAAGAAAATGAAAGTCTTGGATCTGTCTGAACCTAGAAACAATAGATGGGGTGATTATTTAACTGTTTAACACTATTGCATTTGATGGTTTGCTCACTTTACACAGTATCCCTAATTAAAGGGAGCAACCTGGTTTGGGTTGGGTTGAGCATTTGTTAAATTGAGTGGACTTGAGCTTAAGCCTGAGCATGATCCCAACTTTGAGCCTGGTGTAGCTGAAATTCCCCAACTTGAAAAACCTGATTTTCACCTTATCTAAATTACTAAAATATTTTATCATCTTTGACTTTTATCAGCACAATCCCCATTTCATAGTATGATGGTGCTTATTCTTGAATAGTAACTCAAAAGTGAGAGATTTAATTTTCATGGGCAACAAGGTTTAAAGGTACTTCCTTTTTTCTTTGGGGGGGGGAGGTGATTAGATAAAAGAGCAAGAACATGGAAAGATTAAATATGGTGTGTGATGGTGATAGTGAACTGTGGTTGAATTGAATATCAAGGAAAAAGAAAGGATATAGTAGTAATAGATTGAAACATAACCTTTTTTTATTTATTATGCTTTGAAGTGCTAATATTAGCAAGTAGGATGTGTTCCAAGCTACTGCAATTCTTGGTTTCGAGCTATAGTTATGTCCATGCCTTCTAGTATGATATGTTGCTTACTATGATGTATGTCTGGGTGCAACCTATGATTCATTGCCATATCTTCTTTAGTTGTGCTTGGATGTAATCACGTATGAGTAGTAGAGACCATATACACATGTACCTTGTTAGTGTGTAGTGTGTATCTTTTATGGGAAGCAATAATTGTGTAATAATTTGATTGGAGTTGCATCAGTGATTCACTAATATATGTCAATTTCTTTCTTAGTAATTCATATAAGTGCTTCTAAATGTGCTTGTGCATTTGGAAGTTGTGCAATATCATATTGTTCAATATACTTTTCATTTTATTTTTTTATAATTTTTGGTTAAGAATATATTTTTATTGGAGAATCTAGCAATACTAGTAGTGCTAAAAATAACATTTGCCTTCATAGTGTTAGACCTATTAAAGTAAAAGAGGCATTAAATAAGATGAAGAAAGGAAAAGTGTTAGGACCCGATGGGATTCCAATAGAAGTGAAAAGGTATGGGAGAGTTAGGCTTGTTATGGCTAACTACACTATTTAATAAGTAGTGAAAGAAAGAAGATACTAGATGTTTGGAGAAATAACAACATGATGCTTATGTTTAAGAACAAATGTGATATACAAAGTTGTAATAGCTATCAGGGGATTACATTCATGAGCTACTATGGATCTTTGGGAAAGAATAGTTGAACAAAGATTATGACTTAGAATAAATTTATCAAAGAACCAATTTGGCTTTATGATAGGGACTAGGGAGATCAGCCATGGAATGTATTTTTCTTTTGAGATAATGGATGGAAAAAATTAGAGGGAAGAGGAAAGATCTTCATATGGTATTCATTGATATAGAAAAAGGCATATGATAGAGTTCGTAGAGAGATAATATTGTGGGTCTTAAAAAAGAAAGGGGTTCATAATAGGTATATAGACGTCATTAAGGATATGTATGAGGGGGCAACAACCAATATTAGAACACAAGTGGGAAAGATTATATTTTACAGTTATGATGGGTCTTCACTAAGGTTCAACACTTAGCCCTTGTTTATTTGCATTGTTCATAGATGAATTGACTAAACGCATTCAAGAGGAAGTTCCATGGTGCATGTTATTTGTGGATGATGTTGTTTTAATTGATGAAATTAATGAAAGAGTAAATGCATAATTAAGCTTATGGACAAATCCCTTAGAAACAAGAGATTTTAAAATAAGTAGGACTAAAATAGAGTATATGACATGCGATTTTAGTAATACTAGGACTTAGGAGTGTAAATCAGGATACACTTAGGATTGGAGACCAAAGTAATTCAATGTGACCATTTCTAGTGCACGGGTTCAAATAATTCATAACAAGGGAGAGATTGAGGCGAATATCACCTAAAGAATTAGAATAGGATGGGCAAGATGGAGGGGTGCATCTGGACTTACATGTAATATGTGAATACCACTCAGATTAAAACGGAAGTTCTGTAAAACTGTTAATCTGTTGTAAGGCCTGCTATGTTGTATGGAGTAGAGTGTTGGGCAGTCAAAAAACAACATGTCCAAAAAATGAATGTGGAAAAAATGTGAATCCTAAGAAGTATGAGTGGAAAACTAGAAAGGATTGGATTAGGAATGAAGTCATTCCTAGGAACCTATAAGTAGTTCCAATAGTTGATAAAATGAGAGAAAGTTGACTAAGACTGTAGAAGTGATTTGTTACAAGTTGAAGGGGTTAGAAGGGCTAGGGGTGACCAAAAAGGACATGGGTAGAAGTAGTAAGAAATTGTTTAATCACTAATAATATAATAGTGGATATGGCATTAAATAGAATGGATTGGTGAAACGGGATTCATGTATCTGACCTTATATAGTTGGGGTAAGGCATGGACAACGATGACGATGACGATATGTTTGTTAAAATCAGAATGGGCCTGGGCCTGATGCCCTGTCCTGTGCATATCCTTCAAGTCAGGTCCTGACTTGTGCCCCTATATGGTATGATGCTGCACTTAATCAAGTTACTTGTGTGCAAGCCCACATGCCACTAGGCTTGGCTTTTGGTATTTTTTTTATAAGTATGCTATTGTGTCATACTGAAAAAGTACCAAGTATTTCTTGAATTGTTAAAATACCAAGTAGGCAAAGTGGCTCGAAGATTTCCTATTATCCTCTTACGTTGTCATTTTCTTAAATTAAGGGTTCAATGCTTAACTACTCATAACAAGAAAAGAAAAATGTGGGCTCTATTGACAAAAAAAAGTGGGCTTGGTGTTATTCGTTGTCCCTTAAGTTCTATTGGATAGAACTTTAAAATGAAAAGAGATAAATACACGTGACAAGAAATCAATAAAATTCTGGAAAGACTTTGGTGGGGGGAATCTACCCTTGCTGCCTCCTTCCCTAGACTTTTTACCCTTACCCTTTACCAAGAAGCCACTATTTCTGCCTGCCTTCCAGACCAAATTGTTGAGAACACCCTAAACCTTTGACCCAGAATCCCCTAAGGGATTTGGAAATTGCTGAATTAATAACATTAATTCAGACCCTTAAAGAAGCTTACATCTCCCCCTCCAAGTCTGACACCCGAATCTGGACCTTGCACTCCACTGGCGAATTCTCTTCTAAGTCTATGTTCAAGGCTTTGATTACTGATGATCATCATCCCCCTTACCTGATCTGGTGCAGCCACATTCCCTCAAGAGTTTGTTTCTTTGTCTGGGAAGCTTGCCTCCAGAAAGTTAACACTTGTGATCTCTTGCAAAAAACGTTTTTGGGTAGACTGTCTATCTCCCCTCATGTTTGTTTTTTATGCCTCAGTGATGGAGAATCAACATATCACATTTTCCTTCACTGCAAATTCACCCAAAAGATATGGTTCCATTTTCTAAAAATGGCAGGTTACAGTTGGGCTATACCAAAGCATGTTAAGGACCTTCTACATTAGTGGCAAGGAACAAGTTTAAGTAAGAGGGGTAAAATTTACTGGCAATCAGGGTTACATGCAGTGCTGTGGGGTGTTTGGGATGAAAGAAATAAAAGACTTTTTGACAACAAATCAAGGCCCCTGGAGGAGTTAATTTCAGACATCTCTTACCTGTGCAACCTTTGGATGGTGAATTCAGATCTTTTCAGAGGAGTCTCAGTCAATGACCTCATTAGAGATTCTTACCTTTTCTTATTTCTCCCTCACCTCCATCAACCACCCTTGAGACTTCCTGAACCCATCAGTGAAGGTGTGATGATCTTAAACTTTGATGGAAGTGCTTTAGGTAATCCCGGATTAGCTGGTATTGGAGGATTATTAAGGGATGAAAGGGGAAACATCTGTTGGACTTTCAGCGGTCCAATTGGCGTGACAAATTCCACAAAGGCTGAAGTAATGGCTGCCCTCACAGGAATCAGAATAATAAAAAGTTTGGGAATTCAAAATATAACCATTACAGGTGATTCAGCAAATACTATAAAATGGTTAAGAGACAAAGAGGGGGGGACCTTGGAGATTATGTCACTATTTAGAAGAGGCCAGGGACTCTTTGGAATGCCTAAATGTAAAGTTAGTTTGGATTCCTAGGGAATACAATCATACAGCAAAAGGCTTAGCTAAATGTGGTGTGTTCTTAGAGCAACTATATAGCGACAAACTTCCTCCTTTGTAATTTGTAGGGGTTCTCCCCCTGCTTTGTACATATTCTCATGTACCTCTTTTTTTATAAATGAATCTTGGTTAACTTTTTTAAAAAACAAAATTGAATTTCTGAGACAACAAAAGCCAAAAAAAAGAAAAAACAAAGTAACACCTTGATCCCCATCAAGACCCTAGCCCTTTAAAAGACCCCACCCCAATAAGGTTCTTGTGATAGTAAGCCCTTCAAGAATCCTCTTCAGATTTGTCTTTAGGTAATGGAAAACTCTCTTCAAGGTCCTTAAACAAATTCTTCCTTGCCATTTCTTCCCCTCCTAACACACAGAGCCCTAAAACCTTGTTTACTTGAACTGCATTTTTCACTACCTTGTCCACGTCCAACTTCTCTTCTACCTTCCTAATCTATCTCCTTTCCCTCCTCCTCTTGCTCCTCATCAGAATTGTCATCCTCTGGGTCTTGTTAGATGACTTTATGTGACTTAGAGAAGTTTTGGAGGTCTTGTTACATGATTTTAGAAATTTCTTTATCATCAACAAACAGCAAAACTTTCTTAGGAAGTGGAAAAACACTTCACTCCATAAATGGTGAAGCAAGTGGTACAACAGTCTGATGCTGACATAAAGAAAAAACATTAATTTGTCACCTTGTTATAAATTCATCCTTGGGCATGATGCCCCCAAACCAATTTTTCTCAAGTTACCAACCCTTGCAAGAGCCTTGTCAATGTTGTTTGCCGTCATAGGTACTCATCTGAATGAGTAGTTCAGATTGGAAGCAACATGCATTTGCTATGAGCCAAAGATCCCATGTGTTTGCAATTTCATCGTGATGTCAACCTTTTATGTGAGAAAGGGGGACCACCCTCTAAGCCTAAGTATTCCTCAATGACCAATAGTGTACAAGTGTTGTGGGGGAAAGGTGAAATGAACCCTATTTATGGAGTGCAATAGAGAACCTAAGATTCGATGCGAACAATTAGTCGAAGGAGTGGAGCTTAGAGATGGTGGGTACACTCACTCTAATGGTGCACCTTTTCCATGATGTGTTAGTAAGTAAATGGGAACAATGACTCAAGCCTTTTTTTTTTTGATAAATATGACTTAAGCCATTATGTGTTGGCACTTTCCAAAAAGAAACTAGTTCTTCCTATTTGACCTGAAATTGATCGATCTAGCCATGAGCTTTGTGACCTAGATCTTTTTGTGGTACTCCAAGAATGCAGAATTGCAAATGGATCAAATATCAATCCAATTCGAATTCGATCCATTTGGATATATCCAATTTGATTTATATATATTATTTCATTTCTTACATATAAGTTAGCTGATGGGTATTCCTATTTATCTATAACCTATCACTTGTGAGTTATGACCATTGACTACTAACAACTGACTACCTAACCTATGGACTACTGACTACCCAATGACTCCTCTCCTTTCTAGATTCTAAATCTCTGTTGAATAACATGTCGACCTGCCCCATTGAAGACCCTCATTTCAGCTTCCTCTTGCCCAAGGGAAGACCGGAAGAGCATATCTTCCATGCAGGCTGGTTTTTATTATCCAACAAGCACACATTCCATGCACTCCGCTTGGCCATGGGAATCTATGTTTGTCCCTTTGGTTAAGATCTGATGATAGGGATAGCAGTTTTCCCTGTAAAACTGTGGTCCCACCTTGCCCTGAATGGGCTGGGTTTCCTCTGATCTTAAATGGGGATGGGGTGGGGATGGGGTTTTCATATAATTCTCCAAACTCGCCCCAAAACCGATGGTAAATTAGTAAAATATCCCTAGAATGATTTTTAAAATGTCTCTAAGTTTTCCTCAAAGTCCTAAAATCCTAGGACCCCATCATTCCATTTATTAAGTACCCCCAATTTGTCATAATCCAATACCTAAAATACCTCCAAATTCCCATAATCCTATTTGTAAAATATCCACAAATTAGATTATTTTTAGGTGGTTGCCTTGGGATGGGGAAAATTCAGAGATTCCCCGTCTCAGCCAACATCCATCAAAACTTTATGCAGCCCTATTCAGGTGGTTTCCAAGCTACCTCTATTTGTGCTCTTCTGGGAGAACGTGCTACCAATGCAATGAGGTAATTGCTTGTTGTGTTGCCCTCTCCAGTTTCTGGTATCATCTAAAAGAATCTAGGTTATGCTTAAGGATATTCCCATGTTAACCACCTCTTAGCCACCTCAGGGATTTACCCTTTAGGGGAAGATATTGTGGAATCCATTGGTATTTGCAGTGTGTTGGGTTGTTTTGAAAGAATGTAATTCCCACATGTCTGGGGAGAGGAAACATATAAACAGAAAAGGTAGTTTCGATCATGAAAATCCTCACTCTCTAAACATCTCTTCAGTGGTCTCTTCAAATGCAAATTTCTTTTGGCAATTAGTTGGTCTGAGATTCTTGTTCGGGATTGGTCTTTTGAAGTCACAGATTGCTTATTTAAATTGTTGAGAAAGTTGAAACTATGATGTGTGCATCATTGTGTACAACCTGGCCTAAAGGAATCCCTCTCATGCTTCCATTCTTTTTCTTTTTCTATTGAATAAGTTTGTGCAGTCAATAACTTAGGCACATTTATTTGCAAGTGGATGCATATGGTTCTGTTTTCTGTATTTGTGTTCTAGCAACTGGTCTCTTGATACATCTGAATGCTAGGGTGCTAGCATGGATAAAACTTTTTGGATGTCTGCTGAAAACATTTTCCACCTCTAAGCCCTGTTATAAGGTAGAGAAATTTTAAGACTTCATGCTTGTTGCCATTTGGTAACAACCTTATTATTTGATGAACAAGCATGGAAGTAGAGAAGAGGAAGAAATGTATGTGTACCTCTAGTTTGAATTTTCAACTGTGGATTCTTTTCTTAGTGTGAGATATTCTTCCCTTTGCTTGGTTGAAGTATTTGACTTCCTATTATGCATTCTGTATTTCATTTGCTTTCCAGGATACATGGGAGGAGGTTGATCCAGATGAACTATCATATGAGGTAGACTTAACTTTTTGATACTGGTGCTTTTGGTAGCTTATATTTCAGTTTATGTTATGGATGTTGTTATATGTTTACAGGAATTGCTTGCCTTGGGTGAGGTAGTTGGAACAGAGAGCCGTGGTCTTTCTGCAGATATGATTGCCTCGTTACCTTCAGTTAGTTACAACGCACAAAGCAACCAGGATGGAAGCACTGATCAGTAAGAACTTGCATCCTTCTTACTCTTAGATCATGCGTTCTAGTAATATGCTGATGGAGTTTGTGAATGCTTCTTTCAGGTGTGTTATTTGTCGGTTGGACTATGAGGATGGTGAGACCTTGACTGTTCTTTCATGCAAGCACTCATATCACTCTGAGTGCATTACTAACTGGCTTCAAATAAACAAGGCAAGCTTTTGAGTTCCATTCTGTTCCTTTCAGTGTACTTTTCATTATTTCATGGTCTGGGGTCCTTTTATTCTTTTTGGATAATTTACATCAATATTTATATATTGCTTAGATTTATCGTCTTCATCTTTCTAAATCATGGTCCTATGAACTTTCATTATAGTGGGATACATTGTGGCCTGTATCTTTTTGGATTCAACCATCTTCATGTACTTCTGTATTTCTTTTGATCAGTAACCTGAAAATCTTTATTAATGAAAAGGATGAAGAGACGGTAATGTAAAGAAAAGATTATGTCCATTTACAGAAGCCACTCTCCAATCTTCACACAAGAAACCCTCATTAAAGCTGGCCCCTTATATTTATCTTTTTCACTCTTTGGTAATTATGATGCTTCAAGAGTAGATGCCCCCAATATAACTTCTCTTTGAATTCCCTACCTGGCTAAACTATTAGCTGAATTTCCTTATCTCATAATCCAAATGAATGAGATGTTTACCTGGATGCCAGAGCTCATACTATTTTAATAAATAAATGTAATAATGACAACCTCTTTCGCTTTCAAGTTCCAGCATTTGAAATTACGGTGAGTGCATTAACCTTATTCCTTGCAGTAGAGCAAGAATTCCATGTACTTTTATATCTGGATTTCATGTTTAAGCTTTTTTTTTTTTTGCAATGCATTTACATCAAGAGTAGTTTCAACTGAGGTTTGAACCTTTTGGAGCTCAGGATAAAGTTATTTTTGTTGGAGAGGAGTTTCAATAATAGAAAACTGGCGGGGCTTGTTATCTGGCATTTCCATCCTGTTGGCATTTGATCTTCTTTGTCAAAATATTTGCCATCTGATTAACTTCTTGATTAAGACAAACTTTGGGCCTCTTTGGCAAGTTTTTTGGAAGATCTTTGAGGCTTTTCAAAGACCACTAGACCAAAAAAGTCTTTTTTCTGTTTGGCAACGAAAGACATGAATGAAGCCAGAAAAAAAACCACGTCATAGAAAGATCATGGAAGCCCAAAAGGCCAAAATCAGGAAGCCATCTTTCCGCACCTAAAATCTTTCGTTTAACAGCCTGGTAGACCATGGTAGACTAGGATATTTACCAAATGGTCTTGATCTTTAAAGACAAGACCCCAAAAGCTTTGTATGTCTTTTGGTCTTCTTGGCTGTCAAAAGATCTTCCTAGAAAGACTTGCTAAACGGCATCTTAATTGGGACTGTTATTGGCAACTGACTAGAACGCTTTCAGCATTCGGCAGAGGTGTAAAAGTTACTGTTTGACATTTATATTTTCCCTGTCATCCTTTCTCAGTAATTCCATTCTTTTTTTTTTGTTTTTATATTTTTTTATGGGTGTGGGTGGGTGGGTGGGTGGGKGGGGCTGTGGTGGAATGCCAAAGAGGTTGACAAGGACCATCTCTAAAAGGATTAGAAAAGAAAATTAATGGCAATCCATCCATGGATAGTTGTGTTCTTCAATGATGATGCTGACAAATTATTGGTATAATTGTAATCTGTTATCAACCAATGCCATAGCAGAACGTTGACACACTTTGTTGTGCTTCCAAGAAAGATCAACATCTCTATATTAAGCTACATAGCTTGGGCACTTTGACTTTGGGTGAATGGGGAAATTAGGGAATTGGAAACAATCTTCTAGAGAAGGTATTGACACACTAACAAATGTTTAATTGGTGCTTGTGCAGGTCTGCCCAGTGTGCAGTGCCGAGGTTTCTACTTCAGAAAGCAGATAAGGATGTTGGACGTTGTGGATCGCTTTTTATAAGTTTGCACAATATGCCTTAAGATGGATTGGAAGAAATAGAGGCCACAGCATTTGTTTTGGGTACCCTGTGCCTCTTTCTGAAAAATACATTATTTAAGCATGTTTGTATGTCGATTCTTTTTTTCTTACTGAATGGATTGGATGTTTTTTGAGTTATTCATCCTTGGCAATGCTTTGCACATACATGTCAGCTAAAGTTTCTTATGAAGATTATTCGTTGGTATTCTTCGGCACTGCCTCAAATATTTCGTTTTAATTTTCTTAAGCAATATTAGCAACACTGGTCCATTCTATCATGGAGCCCTTAATCACGAGAACAAAATGTAGAGATAACTTGTCATAGTAGAGGGCGTTATGGACGTATGGGCTTATGGCTTCATGGGTCATGAATCATGATGCCTCGCCATTTTGTGATTTAAGGGGATCTATGAGGATCAAAGCCTGAAGCTCTTGGAGGCATTGAGGTCTTGAGGTCTTGAGGTGTTCATCCAATCATTCTCTCTTCAGGCTATGAGCCTATGACTGGACTGGGGGGTTCAACTGGTGACCTGGTCGTCCGTTGAGCTTTTTGGGTCCCAGTTATTTTAATGGTTTTTAAGGACTGAATGATCTGACCGGCAGGTTGGTAGGTAAAAGTAAAAAGGGATTTTTACCGTTCAGTCCACCCCTAGCTGGAAAGTAAAATTATGGCCTAGTTTCTGGAAATTGGGGGTGGGTAAGTTGGAGGGTCTCGTGAAAAAGAAATAAATTTGTGGTATGTGATTAGACAATCATCGCTTTTTGAATAATACCCTCTAAACCAGTAAATCACTTAACCACTTGTGCTGAAAATTGTTAATACGCGATGGGACAAAGGGCACTTTTTTTTTTTTTGAATAAAATGGTCATTGTGCAATTTTACCTAGAAAATAAAAGAACAGCGATAAATAAATTTATTTGGGTAAATGTTTCACAAGAATGTTTGCTTGGATAAATGCATTTATCCACGAGATGCAAAGCACCTTCCACTCCCATGATAAGTACCGGAAACATAAAAAAAAGGTATTAAAATGAAAAAAAAGTGGATGTTGAAACTGACATGACATGGTTTGTGCTAAAAATACCTGGTGCAAGTATAATCAGTGGCTTCATTTTCGTCAGATTGTGATGGAATTGGTTTCAGTCAGAGAAAGGCCCGTTCGAACAGTGTTCAAACAGCCTTTATAACCTTTCACTGGGAATATCTCTATATTTCTGTGCTTTATTTCATGGGAAGATATTCCCATGAAATATCTTCCCATGATATTTTCAATCCACCGATGATCCAGGGTCGATTAAAACCCATCATTGGCATCAATTTTGATTTGGGTAAATCTCAAACCTGGAATTAGGTCAAAATTTGACTTGATCAAAACCTTTTAGCTCGAGAGGTTGAGCTATTAATTTACTTGACCTGGCCAAAGAATCACGGCTTATAAATTACAAAATGTCTAGAGACCATAACTTTGCATTTGGCGGTTGGATTAGGGTGATTTTTTTTTTATTTTTTATTTTATTTTGAGTAATGTTTGCTATTTATGTGTTAAGGAATTAAAGGCTCGTTGACCCACTATTTTTTGCAAAAAATATCTTTTTTGACCCACTATTTATATGTATATTATATTACATATGTATAGGTACATACTGTTCGCTCAAACCCTCATAAAACAACAAACACCAAGATTAATGCCGCAAAATTGTGTGCGAACCTACAACCTATGTTGTGATAAATCCGCAACACACCATCAATCCTGCGATGAATTCACAGTGCGTATCGCAAAAATCGCAATAAATTGTAGTTCACCGAACCCATTCGGTGTTCAAATTGAGACAAGCCCGGGCCGAACCCATGGCGAGACCCATGCATACCTAGAGCCATGTGGAACCTACAACGTTGAAAGACGCAGTGAGACGCTACGCGGTGTTAACAAGTCATCACCCGCCAAGTAGTGACGACATTAATGCCACGTCAAGTAAGTTAAATTGCGCAGGAGGTAGTACACACGTGAATAATAAGGAATTTTGAGGGAAAGGAAAGCCGATCATCGGGAAAATCCTCATGAGACACGTGGTGAAACCCCAATGGCACATTTAATGATTGATAGAAAATCCAATATTCCCTTTCTCGATAGAAAACAAACATATTTATCTCCTACCTTTTAGGATCTCAAGGTCTCCCCCATAAATAGAGATTCTCTTTATACTGAAATTCATCATTCGGATCCCTAGCACTCTTGGCATCCAGCACTCTCGCCCTCACATCCTTAGTCCCAAAAAAACTCATCTTCCTGATTTACAAGTCCTTCTCTGTCTTTCAAAGTGACCACTCCCTAACCGATTCTTACCCCTCCTACTGTATGCATATTATATTATGTAATGATGTATCACATGACGACTTATTTGACTTGAACGATTAAATCAATGGCACAAAAAATGGTTCAGCCTCTCGGTCCATTTTATGTCAAATGAGCCAGATTTAAAGTGAAACTACCATGTTGTATACTATTTTGCTTGCATTAATATACATATAACAAAAAATTGACCCAACCCGACCTAGAGAAAACGGGTTAGGGTCCCCCAACCTGTCACCTAAACTAGAACGCAAGTTGACCCAACCTGACCCAAAACAAATCCAGGTTGGGTCACGAGTTACCAGTTTTAAAACCAATGTTTTCAAACTGGTGTTGGCCTGGATGATTGAACTATTCAAACCATTTGAACCAGATAGTTAAACCCGTCTTACCCATGGAGTCAACTTTAATTTGAATATTTGGGGTTAGGGTTTAGCCTTGATGGCCCAACCCAAAAATGCTTTGATCCAATTCGAACCCATCCCCACCTGACCCGATTGCCAGGTCTGCTTATACTATATGCATTTGAGTCGCCAATAAATAAATAAATAAATAAATAAAAACTATATGCATTTTGATCAGACTTCGGGTTCGGGTTGGATGATGAATAGAAAAAAAAAAAAACATCTGTATCTGTCTTTTACAGATGTTGATCGAATTTGAATTGATTTTAAAATGCGGATCCTTTCTGATGATCTAACGAACTAAATGCAGACAGTGAGCTGTGCAGGTCTCAGATCTGAACTGATCTCATTTCATCTATTTTATGCCCTTTCCTTCTCAAGACTCAATTGCCACAAAGTCCATATAAAAATATTGGGACCTACCGAAAGTGTAGATTGTGTAGCTAGAAATATTAGAAATTGTTTTTGTTTTCGAAAAACAAAATCATATACGTTCATAAACATACCCTAAATAAGGGTAGAGTCAATAAGCCCAAAATCAATAAATTCATATTAATTGAACACGAACACGACGGATGCAGAGCCAATGATAATGCCCAGATAATGGACTAAAACCGGTTGTTTCTATTTTACCGTTCATTCTTCTATTTTATACCCCACACAAGAACTGGGGTCGTTTTTTTTTGCCGATGGGGTGAACCCAAAAAAGATGTATGTAACAATCTCGGCCTTGTATTATAGCTGTATATGATGATGGACAACCCACTGCATACCTGAATTGAAATATTGACGTCAATTCCAGTAACAAGTTGTAGAAGCAGTTCAGTTGCATCGGAGCTACGTTCAACATTAATAATGATGTTAACTGTTACAGTGTGCGGTGTGCCTCAAGATCGACAGTTGAAGACAATCTCCGTTACCTCCACATGCTTTTTAGAATCAATAAATCTCTCCGCAACAAGAGATTGCCTATTATAGGAATGGTTTCTCATTAAAATGGAAGAGGGACTTCGGTTGCATATGGTAGCGATACTGAAATTCTTATTACCTCCGGTATAAGGTATTCAGTCCATTTCAACCTCATCCTCCTGGAGGTAGATGCAGGAATCAAGCAATTATCATATACCAAGTAAAGAGTTCACTATGTGTGTCACTTAACATCCAAATCCTAGCGTTAAAACATAGACCTTCTTCTTCTTCTTCCACTCTTACTTTGCTAACGTTCAACAGAGAAGTCAAGAAGTCCGGTTTATTTATGGTTGAACCTGAACTAACGTAGTCATTGGTTCAACAAAGAAGTCGTGAAGTTCGGATTATCCATTGGTTTCTCATTTGCATACGAGTTTTTTAAAAAAAATAGCAAAGGAAAGGACTGCTTCTTGATCCCATTGTCTCGGTACAACTCAACTGAACTAAGCCTTGTCCCAACTATATGGGGTCAGCTACTTCCTAAGCATCATATCAATCAAAGTTGAAAGAAAACAATCCCGAGTTTCTTATTATCTATTTACTTGCAGCTTGGGTCATTTGATCTTGTGGGTACAGTTATTTACTAGAAAGATCAATAACCATTCCAGAGCACTTTCTACAATGGTACCATTGAATTTGTTGAGGCTGGTGGTTTTCTCAGTGTTGAGTCTGTTTTCCTTGTAACCCTTCGTTGTGGCTATATGGTTGAATTCAGCAGCTTTCCAAGGTAATTTGAAAATGAGAGCAAGCTTTCTTTTATTAATCAAGGTTTTATACAGATCCTATGAACATATCTTGGAATTGGTATATGGTTTTCCAACTATAGCTCCCTCTATCTAGTATTTATTGATGTGTGCTATCTGGGTATATGTTGTTGTCCTTGACCCTTGTGAGACCTGAGAAGTCTGGACCAGAACAGGCATACACGTTAAACTGATACAGTAATGGGGACCTAGGCCATGGAAATGTTAGTTGTTTGTTGTTGCTCTCTTCTGTTCTGTTGTTCTTGTTATTTTTATGCTAGCAAATGCAATTGTTCTAATAAATCTATTATTGAAAGGAAAGATGATAATTAATCTAACTTCTTACATTTTTATTTCCATTACCCAGAAAACTAAGAGAGCACCCAAGGTTGAAGTGGGGACTGGAACAACTGATGCTTCAATGGATGAATGGTTTCTCAAGGATCATGATCTTCATTTCTCCATTATATCTTCTCTCTTTTTCCTTCCTTTCTGGAATCGTTTGTAAACCTCCCTTTCTGGTCAGGGAACTGCATATGCTCAATCGCTGTCCAAGTCAAAGAAGAAATAGAATGTCTAATCACTCAGACTAGGTATTGTGGCGTGTATGAGGGTCCACACATTGAGTAGTTTTTCAGAGAAATTAAAGAACAGAAAGAGCCTGCCTCAGCTGCATGACATTTGTAGCATGTGGAAGAAGTTTGTATGTTTTATTGCGGTTAGTACTGTTTAGAATTCAG